GAAGGATGAAAAGGCTTCAAAATGAAACTACTAAACAAAATGAGCCCGAGGACATATCCTACGTTTCTGAATTGAACAATTATATCGGAGCAAATATGACAAAATAACCTAATCTACTAAAATACATGTGTTTAAATGTAAAATGCCGTTAGATGACGTCACAAGGCGGCATACTTTTTCTTTTTTCAATCTATTTTTTCTTCTTTTTTTTTCTTTCAATTTCCCATTTTAGAAAAACATTATGAAGAATACTGCGAACTCATCTCATTAAGCTCTCTCAGATGAAGCAATACAATTTTGATGTGCAACTTCTCCACTATGCAGAAAATTCTCGGCGATTTTAAACGAAAATCACGGGAATTTGCACGGGAAAAAATGAAATTGCAGATTTAACAATTTTGTAGTTTAAAACAAGTGTCCGACAAGTTACAATGTAGATCATACAATAAAAAAATGCTGATTTAGCCACCCCCGTGGTTAAATTAGCATTCCACTACTGTAAAACGTACATTTGAAACTTGTCAAGACATATTTTTTAACAATTCAATCGTCGAATTTGCAATCCATTTTTTTCCGTGTGGAGGCGCTTCAGATAACTCTAATCCACCGACTACCCATTTCCTAGCGAATACACTGGGAAAATAAGTCTCTTGGATCTAGTGTCCATACTATTAAAAACATAGACAAGAAAAAATACTCTTGATTCAATCGGAATTTTTGCTTGAATCAAAAGGAAGTCCGTCTGGAGCAAGAAGCTCGGCTCTTCGATTCAAGGAAAAATCGGATTGAATCAAGAGTATTTTTTCTTGTCAGTGTTATCAGGAATCTGGCCTCTAGATTCAAGCGACTTTTTTTCCCAGTGTGACTGGAACACCACTCTTACGTCACAAGTCTCCAACGAAGATGATGAAAAGGGTCCGGAGAATCCAAGTTGAGACCAGGAGGGGACAGATCGGATTTGATCAATAGCAAAACGTGACTCATTCAGTTCGTACGTAGCTTGTGGCTCATACTTAGTTACTCCTGGTGGGAACCCTGGGGCTGAGGCTGAGGGGGCGGCAGATTACACAGCTCACGGCTACAGCGCGACGTCTTTTCAGTCCTCATTTCCCCCGTACCGCCCGCTTCGCCTTCCTCATTTCGAGGGAATTTTCTTGTTAGAAATTCCTCAAACTGCAGCCATGCCCAGCTGTCATCACATATGGACCGCGTTGAGCAGAAACAGGGTGGTAAAATTTTATAAAAAATAAAATCTTGAAATTTCACGTGAAATATTTCATGAAAATCCAGAAATTTATGAAAGATATTGAAAAATGCCGGTTCCTTTCCGTATTTAGTAAAATGTAGAAATTGTAAATTTCTTCAATATTTGTGTGTTTGAGTGCGGGTTGCACACTTTAGCCCCTGAAAAATATGAAATATTTTACAACCTCGTGAAATCTCATGAAATATTTCACTGAAATTTCCAATATTTCCTTTCTTTCTTGCGTTTCATGCCAACCTGAGCAGATAGGAACAAATCAGCTATTGCCAAATTTAATTGGGCAATACATTTTTTACATGAAAACGGTCGTGCCGATTTTAGTGCAAATTTTAGTGAATTTTCTGCATAGTACGAAGCAAATTCTTCCAAATTTTCAAAGGGATTTGCTCAAACGCTCTCTTGAAAAAATTAAATTGCCCAGTTAAATGTGTCATTGGCTGATGTGTCATTGGCTGATGTGGCATTAACCAATGTGGCTTGGTTCATTTCTGTTTAACGGGGTGCACTTAAAGTGATTCGTCCCGAAATCTGGCGTGGTCGCGAACTATCGTACGATATGTCGCATCGATTGACTCTATTTTTTACTTGACTACCGCACCGCGGCATTCGTAAACATCTGTGAGTAATTTGAGACAGGAGAATAACCAATATTTGCCTTCATTTTCGCGTGATACCACTTGCGTACTCCGGAGTTCGAATAGTTGCGCGCTTGATTTTCACACTTAACGACGCAAACATAATACAAAATACCTACACCCATAAACGTTAGTAATTTGAGACGGCTGAAAGCTAAGATTTTCCTTCATTTTCGCGTGATACCGCATGACTACTCTGGAGTTCGAATAGTTGCGCACTTGATTTTCGCATTAAATGATGCGAGCATAATACCTACCTTCATAAACGTCAGTAATTTGAGACGGGGAAAGCTAAGATTTTCCTTCATTTTCGCGTGATACCGCATGACTACTCCGGAGTTAGAATAGTTGCGCGCTTGATGTCTGCTTTGACCAGTGTTCATTCATAAAAAATTCTTATGCAAATATCTAAAGAAAAAAAAAGAAGAAAAAACAAATACGCAATTTACCTAGCGGTGTGTAAAAACCTATGAAATTATGCGCGATTTCCATAAGTAAACATAAAGAATTACGCGTTTTTCACTTCCATATAGTGGCAAATGCACGATTTTTCCACCGGTTTTATAAAAACCTAAAAAATTAAGCATTAGGTAAAAAATCACATCAATTTCTTTATATCTTTATTTATTTTTTATTTATTTACTCATTTTGAAGTTGTATTTGTCCGAAAGACTCATTGTAAAATTATACTTTCAGGGGCTGTCCTTTTTTTAACCAAACCAGGCAGATAGCCCTTCTGAGTGCGCGGGTGATGTCTAAAGAATTATTCCAAATAAAAAATAATAAATAGCAAAATTCGGAGAAATGGAAACAGGATTTGGCCATGAGAACCCGACCTTACATTAAATGCAGTAATCAACCCCGATATCGGACAACTTTCATTCGTACCCAAATCATGATTACATTCTCTGCATTTCGCGGTTTTTGTTTTTGACGATTCTTTACTCATGCGCAGGGACTATCGTCTTTTTTTTGGCTAAAATGTCAAAATCTGCCAAGATTATCGATTCAATCGATGCTGTACAACGCACGCCAGTCTGACGAACCATGGACGAATGACTTTAACCGGATGCTGTAGAACATTAAATTTTTCGAGAACTTAAAACTTTGTTCCAAAGTAAAAGCCTTACTTAAAAATATCAATATAAAGGACCGTCACCCGGTCAAGCTCGATAGGTATTTTAGCTAATGACTGCAAGGAATTTCTTTATCGTGTGTTAGATAATTTATTTAAATTTTCGCTAACGACGCGACGCGAGTCACAACGCCGCTCATTAGGATCAGACGTCAATGACACGCTCATCGGTAGACCAGTGGCGTGGCGTGCTTTCGATAGATCGATTGATTTGCCATTTAAACCTATGGGAAAGGATCGATAGACAGAATCACCCTAATAATCGATTCTTTACATAGTTTCAAATGGAGAAATATCGATAATCGATCATTCACGCCTCGCGGCCTCGCCACTGCAGTAGACGGCCGTGTAAAACTTTATTGGCGACTTATTCTGCCGTGTTAAAGGAAGAACGCCGTATGAACATTCGAGAGTCGCCAAATTTCCTTCGATAAAATGTTCATTTTTTAGGAAAGTTATGAATATTTGTCCTTTGTATTTTCAGAATCTGTAAGTAAAATTGCGAACTAAATTATCTGAAAAATTGGGAGGAAAATATTCATGAATTTACCAGGAAATTTTCGTTTTAAAAAAGGAAATTTGGCAACGCCTGAAGGTTCATACGGCGTTTCTCCTTAGCACGATACTATTATGCTGCAGCTTTTCTGATCGGCCGATGCTTGTGAGAAAGAATGAATGAAGAGCTGACAGATGAATGCCGGCTAGAGCTCCGCGTTTCGTAGCGTGAGTCCACCTTACGGCAAATACAAAAAAAAAAAAAAAAAAAAANAAAAAAAAAAAAAAAAAAAAAAAAAAAAAAAAAAAAAAAAAAAAAAAAAAAAAAAAAAAAAAAAAAAACTACCTAATGGTACAAAAACTAGAGGCGATCGAAACAGTGAATGTTTCATAGTGCCGCATGACCCAGGAATATAGTTGTTGTTAATTGCAAACCGAAAAGTAAGACTTCTTGGAAGACGCTGCTGCGGCGATCAAGTTACGTAAAAAGTATAGGGTGAGAGGAGGGGGGGATCAAACTCTTGTAAGCCAACCTCCTCCGCTTCCTCGAAGAAAAAAAGCAAACATTCTACATCCTTACGTTACGAGATCTGAGAATAAACCTTTCGAAAAATTGAAAAGATTGAAGTGATGTAAGTATTCCTAAACGTACCAATGTTTCAAGGTTATACGAGGGGAAAATAACTTTGTATATTCATTACGTATTAGGAAGTCATCACTGTCTTGTATGCAAAAAGGGACAAAATATGTTTAGATATAAGTTTCAAGAAAAAAAAAAGAACAACTGCTCAATCTCTTTACTCCATTATTCTCTAAAAACGTTTGAAAAGGATTTGTACCACGTTTATAGCAGAAAGGAACCAAGCCACACGGAAAAAACGAGTTTAGAGCTGGTACCTGCACCGAAGGTCCCAGCCCTAACCGGGTAGGTAAAATTGCTTCACCTCCACCGCCATAGGGGCAGGCCCGGCGCGCGTAGAGCCCAAATCTACCTACTTCAGGGTTCAGCCCTACCTGGTAAGAGCTGCACCCTGTCCAGGTCGGGCTGGGCCTTACCCCCGCAGGGCCTGCCCCTGTGGCGGTGGAGGTGAAGCAATTCTAGGGCCCAGCCCTAATCTCGTTTTTTCAGTGCACGTTAGCTTTGCCAAATTTACTAAGCTGGGGAATTTCATTTTTTACAAGAGAACGTTTGTGCGGCTTCCTTTGAAAATTTGGAGGAATTTGCCTCGTCCCGTGTAGAAAATTCACTGAAATTTGGACGAAAATCCGCACAATAGTTTTCATGAAAAAATTATACTGCCCTATCTTTGGCGATGACTGATAAACAGAAGAAATTATGCCGCGTTGTTTACATCGTTATCAGGCATTGCAGTCATTTCAAAAAGTCACCTGAACAATGATTCTCCTTTGACAATTTCATACTGTTCTCCTCTTCTCATTGCATCAATGAATGCGTTGGAATCGAACGTACCTTTTCATAAACGTTGGCGCTCCATTCAAACGTCTGTGCGAATAGATTTCCCTTGAAGATCCGAAAAGAATGGAGGAAAGAAAGTATGAGCAATTTGAGGTTTTCAAGATTCGAGTGCTGGACTCGCAAGGTCGCTCACTAATTTTCACTTTCACACGATACACTTAACAATTCTCACTCGCGTGTATTTAAACTACAAAGTAAGGTTTAAATTTTCACAACCCACGAAGATCAAAATCTCAAGATAGCCGATCGAATCAACTTCCGCGGAAGAGTGTTTCGAGATCGGTACGATAATAACAACGACACAATGCAAGAAATGAAAAGTTCAACGCGGCTCTGACGATGGACAGTAATAGAAACTGTCCAGGAGAAAGAAACCTGATCGTAATTAATTCCACGAACGAAAACAAGCCGAGAAGACTTGCGAACCACGAACAAAACTTCGCGTTCACGACGGACCGCTTTCGCACACCGCACACCCTATCGACGAACTACGGGCAGTACATGTGACTCACCGCGCGCTCCGCGATTCAAAATTTCTGAGAGACCGGCGCGTAGTTCTTGTGAAGCTCGCCAGGGCTCGCCACCTAACACGCACGGCACGAGCGAGGGGGCGGGAGTACTTTGGCGACGCGACGTTGCAATTTGCTGCTTATATTCTACATTTTAAAAGAAGCAAATCACAATTTTTTCTGGGAATTTTCCTTCCTTTTAAATGCCTTTTTGAAAATGCCTATTTACCAAAAATTTCAAGCAATAATGCAAAAACTCTGCCTGCATGAAAAATCAATTCAAACTCCTATCTTAGGTTCATGACCTGTGTAAAAACAATTTCCAAAAACTCCTTAAAATGTTTTCTTTGAAAAAGATTTATCAGTAAGTACACCCTCTAAGGTTGATTTATATGTTCTGGCGGAGGTTAAAAAAAAATTCTACCTACCTTTTTTAAAAGTTTTTTGGCGCATATACGTAGTATACTGCCTTTGCGATCGTTTCGAACCCTGCTCGATACAATAACCGAGTCCCTTAGTTCCTTACCGAAAAGTGACTACCGCGAACTTCTGAGATTTTCCAAAGCATGTAAAAAGTTTATTTATCCGTCAATAATTATGATTTAAAGTTGTTTCTCATTCTGGGGCTTTCTAGTTTATGTGTAATGAATACCAAGAGTCTACGTTACCTGGTTTTTTTAAAAAAAGCCTAAGAATGCGCCGCGCTGATTTCAAATATGCATATATAAGCAGAATCAAGCGAACTGATTCGAGGATGACTGACCATTTCGGCACTCTTCGAATGAGAATTTCACTCACTCCGTTTCGTTCAAAACTTCTTGGTTTTCGAGTAATAAATTCGCGAAAATTTTGCCGGTTTTTAACTTTGACCCCCCGCCGCGTCTCCCCAAAATTTTTGGGGAGCTTGAAACTTTGGGAAAAGATGGGGCATTGTTAGGTGAATGAATAGGACAAGTCTCAAAGGTATCCGCCCCGAGCCCCAAATGGCCCGTTTTGCACGTAGTCCTTTGCAGTATTGGTTAAAAACTTCATGTCCGACCTCTGATTGACTCGATCCACTGTGCGGTGGTTCGGTGGTGCACGTGCACACCATGGTCTCTCTCGCCTTTTAGAGTCATCAATTTGTGATACACACATTCTTCAAAGGTTGCTCGCCGTAAAACACCGATGAACCCAGGGCGGAAGAGACCATGGTATGCACTACCGCGATAAATGACGTCATACATCTTGTTTATCGATAAGCGATATTTCCGTTAAGAGTGGACAAAAATACTTGGCGTTTAAAAGGATCTATTACTATGGTGTAAGCTCCGAGACCTCCTAAAATTGCTTAATGGTAACGCATAGTTCCAGCGGTCTACGGGGCCAATTTTCATGATTTTTGCGGCTGTCGACAGGAAATTGTCCCTATATGCATGAGCCCGCTCTATTCAGATCTTGAAAATATGGCCCAGATTTCTTACATTACGAGGTAAAGTTGCGAATTCTTCCATTTAAACAATGTAAATTTTTATTTTTTGTCACAGTTCGTTCGAGCATTCTACTGTGCCGATTTCCATGATTTTTGCGACAATCGATAAGTGACAGCCCCTAGATGAGCCAGCTAGAATCAGATTTTGGAAACAGACCCCACATATTTTTAAATAAGAGCAGACCAAAGTGCTTCGAAAGGGGGACAAAATTTGAAATTTCGGCCTATCAAAAATGGCGGGAATTTCAAATTTAGAGGAAAACTGAACGGAGCGGAACAATTTGAATCTTGGTCTGTTAATAGGGTAAGGTAAAGGAATCGAAGATATGCTCCTTTGCAACATACTATCCAAAAGCGACGAAATGCTCCGTTCCGTTTGTTCCGATTCGTTCCAGTCTTTGCGTGAAGTTTGAGATAAATGCCGATTTTAAAATTTGATCCTTATTCGTCCAATTGTTCCCAGCCAGAGGAAGATCGGACCAATGAGAGTCGGGTATTAAAATCTTTTCATTTTTTTTGTCGTTCTTTTGTCAAAGCGCATGGAGAGCGCGAAGCGCCCTCTGGGGGTTGGGCCGCTTAGCGACCAGGGGGCGTAGCCTCCTGGTAATATTATGCTACTTCATAAGCTTAAACCATCGAAACACGATTCCGTGACCAGCGCGACGAACTGACCCATATTTGGACTATCTATCCTAAAAGGAACTATGTGCAAGTGGAAAGATGGGTTGTGCTCGTGGAAGCTGGATAAGAAACAATATGTTCAGTGGATACAGTTCCTTTTGAGAAAATGGAAAAGGTGGGTTTTCAATTGAATGAAAAGGAACTGAGCGCTAACTCGTGAACCGTGGGCATGTCATAAGAGCCTTGTGGACAGGGCTCATGAGTTAAAGACCGCCTCCCCGATCGTCGTTTCTCTCATCGTTGCCGCGGACGTCACTGGCGCTTTAAAATCCCCCTTCATTTTTATGGCCCGACCACTAACGAGCACACCCCATCTTTCCACTTGCACAAAGTTCCATTTGGCATAAACACGTCCAATTGGGAAATTCAATTTTTCCTACGGAAATTATTCCATTAAAAATTTGAATTAGAAAATATTGCGCACTAGTGGATGATCAGTAGTTGTGTTAATCCAGAAAATCAAAATAACGTACCTTATGAGAAGCTCGTAGCTGTCAATCCTGAAACAGAAAATGGAACGAGCATTATTATTGTGCTTTGCAATGAAATGGAGGAGAGAAAGATTGAAGTGAGTTAAGTGACACAGACACTAAAAAAGCTTGCGCAGTAATATGAAGCAGGTATTCTTGAAAATTGCGTCAAACCTTGAAAAGCGAGTTCAAAGTTGCCTATTATGAGCTTCCACTGAACTTCGCCGAACAAGCTAAGGTGGCCGGCGATTTCTTTCTCGACTGTGCATCCCTTCTGCCGCGATTGCAGTCGGTGCAGCCGTCATCATTGCACGGCTACACGAACCATGGATTGCGAGAGAGGAGTCGCCTCGTGAAAAAGAGATCGCAGAGGTAGGGATATTTTCGGTTGCCATCTTGCCATTCTCGGCGATGCGCGTTGAAATGGGAGCACAAAGTACGCGACATTGAACTTGTTTTATGAGGATCAATATTGCTCCAGAAAAATTCTTGTAAACGTAGTGCCTCCTATATTTTTCAAAAAGAGCAAAAACAGAGCCAGATTTAAGTTTTTGCTGCCTCCTCTCCCTCCGAGGTATATGATGCAATATCTTAAGGTGATTCCACAGACGCCATTTTTGTGTCAGAGCGACGTGTGATTTATCGCATCGATTCGTCCCATAATTTCGGCTACTTGTCATTTCTTTCGAATCTTGAGATCGCACTCCAGTTGTTATGAAACGAAAGAATTCATGTACCAAATTTGACGAAGAAATTCAACGCAATAAAGGCGTGGTTTTTTCAGAGGAAGAATATCGCATTCGATGCTGATATCGAAACTACACTCGAATGCTATATTTTCTCTCTAAAAAACCACGCCTATATTACGTTGAATTTGTTTGTCAACATTGGTAAGTGAAGTCTTTGGTCTTCTGACAACAGAATTGAGATCTCAAAAATTCGAGAAAAATGACGAGTAACTGAAAAATAGAACCAATCGATGCGATATATCGCATTTCGTTTTGACACAAAACATGGCGTACATCGAATCACCTTTAAGGAGGACGCGACACGCACGCACGAATTGTACGTTTCGGAAACACAGCAAAATAGAAATCTGCGTAATCTGATTGTGCATTAGTTAGAAGGATGCGCATTTGTGCAGAAAAATGTTGCAAACAAATATGGCAGATTATTTTTATTTAGGAAGGGGAAACGATTCTTCGAGGGATGAGGATCCGTGACACGAAAAAGGCGAAAATGAAACGATCAATGGGAAACGCTAAATGAAACATGACAAAAAATCATATAATATGTCGATGCTATGTTAAGAAAACACTCATTTACGTTGCTTTGTTTCAGAATTGCCGTGTCTATTTTACTTTTTTAAAGAGAAACAAGCCAACGTTATGGCCTAGATGCACATGGCGATTAATCGCCGTGTGTATCAAGGCTTTTAGCTGGGGTTAAGCTGCCTGTCGAGGGAACACTAACGCTGTACGACGCCCCTGGCGGTTATAGCGATTTCCGAAAAGGCACGGAGTCTCTAGCTGGGGTTAAGCTGCCTGTCGAGGGAACACTAACGCTGTACGACGCCCCTGGCGGTTATAGCGATTTCCGAAAAGGCACGGAGTCTCCAGGATCTACTGCGCGATCGTTGTAACACAGAGTCAAGTTTTCGCTTTTCAAGAAGGCAAGTTTCCGCGACGGCACATTCGTCCCACGACAAAATTAAATATTATACATGGGTGATACAGCCTAAGATTCTCCTTCAATTTCGGCTGACACCGCATACATACTCCGGAGTTCGAATAGTCGCTCGCTTCCAGGGAGTCTAAGTTAACAGGCTGGTCAAAAGCAGTTGCTGTTCTCTTAGTGCATTCCCAAGAAATCCAGTACCCCCTGAAAAAGTATTCAGTATTTTAACTTTCTCGCTACCCTAGGGCAGAGAAAGTATTTTTCAGTTGGTACCTCCATTTTAAGAAATTCTCGCTCGAATTGCGCCAAAATGATACATAAAACTTCGTTAATGCACACTGGAAAAAACTTGCGGGATATGTGAACATACCGTCCGTGTTCCGGGCTTATAGACCGAAAGTTCCGGGTGCTGGAGCCGTAGCTTCAACAACTCAAGGTGCTAACCCTGGAACTTTTGGTCTCTGAGCCCGGAACGCAAACGGTATGTCTACATAGCCCGTAAGCACGGCTTCCACGGCCGGAGTTTTTGGTCAGTGATGGCTTGAGGAACTCCACAGTCTAAAATCTTGCAGGCAAATATTACTCTGAGAATCAACAGGCAGGGGATTGCATACTTTCCAAGCTTTATTAAAAAACACGCGTGGCATGAAGAAAAAAGTTCCGGACCTTCTTGCGGAATT